CGGCTCCAGGCCTGGCCGGGCAGGGCACAGCGCAGCGGGGGCTGGCAGGCGGGGACCGGGAGGAAAGGACCCCAAGCAGCGCCGAGGAGCCTAGCCGGCCGGGGGGGAGGGCGGGCGGGCTGGCTGGCGGGCGGGCTGGCAGGCCGCGGCTCCGCCTCCGGCCCCTCCCCTCGCGCCCGTCGTCCTGAGCTATCAGTCTCCCATTGGTCCGGATTACTGCCGCTCAGACTCGGGCTCACACCTCGCTCCCTCTCTCATTGGCCGCTGGACAAAGGCACGCTGCTACGATTGGCTCAGCGGCCCGCTATTTCCGTTCGCAGGAAGGGGGGGGTGAAGAGGCGTTGCCCGAGAGACGGGCGGAGTTCGGTTGCGTGCTATGGGACCTCCCCCTCCGAGCGGCCGGGTCCGATGCTGATTGGATCCGGCGAAGGGAGGGATTGATAAGAAGGAAGGCGGGGGAGTGGGCCTGGGAGGCGGGACTGGCGTTGACTATGTCCAATGAGCAGGTAGATCGCCCACGCAGGCGTCGCGGATTCGCCAGGCCTGTCCTATTCCCGCCCCCGACTGGGCGGCTGTGGGGGCGGGAGAAGTGCGTTGATAGGTAGAGAAGGAAAGTGAATGGGGGTTGTCACTCAGCTGGACTAGGATAGGTGGAGCGCCGCCTGCAATTCCCTGCTGCAGAGAAGTGCTTGGGAGGGGCAAGCAAATGTGAGGTGTTTACTGCGCAAGCGTTCCCGATTCCCTTTCTCCCTCCTCTCTTCCACCCCCGACTCTTTAAATCTTTTTCCAGGAAGTCTTCCCCTCCCCCTCCCTTGTCTAGCGGCCTAGATGTCGAAACGAAATTTCTCAGAACGGGGGAAATACGAATTCAAGTCTAGTCCTGTTAGGCATACGTTAAATCTGACGTCCAGAGAGGTTGAGTGACTTGCCCAAGGTCACACAGCTCAGAAGAGTAGAGCGGGGATTTAAACTATATTTTGTCTTTTAACCACTTTCCCATATACAATGCCTTTTTTTTTTTTCAACCATAATGCCATTCTACACATTGTGAATCTCTCCACCTAACTTGGAGCTCTTCCTGAGCAAGAATGGCATCTCGTACTGAAGAACGCTGGTTCAAAGGAAGGAATAGATGAATCTCCTTAGTTTAGCCCAACCACCACCCCTTGGCTCCCAAGCCCCTCTTTGATTGACTTTGATTTTGGGGAAGGACTACAATTCTCTGGGCTATTGAGAAATTTGGGGTAAAGGGAACTGAGAGAGTCCATTTCTGTCACCTCCAGGAACTAAACTCCACAACACTTGTCTAATCTCAGAAGTCTGGTATTCTTGGAATGAGCCTTGAGGGAGTGTCCTGGATCCTGTGAACTTCCACTCTGAACCCCCAGGGGATAGGGACCGGGACAAGAGCTGGCCAGGCTGCAGCGTTTCACAGATTGGTCCATTTGGGTTTCCAGCAATGGGGCTTGGGAAAATCATTCTGGATTCTAGGAGGAAGGACATGCTGAGCTGTCTTAGTGACCAGGAAAGTCCATTCCCAATATGGGTTGGGGGTGCTATTTGTCCCTAAAGAACAGAGAGTAGAGGACCAATTAGGGGCGGCGCCTGGGTGGCTCAGTTGGTTAAGCCTCTGACTCTTGGTTAACCCCACATAGGGCTCCATGCTGACAGTGTGGAGCCTGCTTGAGATTCTTTCTCTCTCTGCTCCTTCCTTGTTCTCTCTCTCAAAAATAAACTTAAAAAAAAAAAAAAAAC